TGTATGTATGTATGTGTGTGTGTATGTATGTATGTATGTATGTATGTATGTATGTATGTATACACGTGAGAAGATGAAAACATGTTTGAGTCATTAATTTGAATAAGTTGATTTTTGATCTGACAGCTAAAAAATTTCAACATTCATCTGATAACTGACGAACAAATATGGATTTTCATCTATCTTCATCTCTTTCATCCATGTTCATCTACCTTCATGAACTTTTACTATACATTCAATTACTTTCTTATGCATGAATTTGTTAAGTATGTAAATGGTGGTAAATGAAGGTTTGTGAAATGTTGGTGGATGAAGGTGCTGAAAGTGGATAAAGGATTGTCTTCTCACCTTTCTCACCTTTCTCACCAAAAAATTCATTCTTATGGGAACCTAATATATATAAATGCTACAAACTTATATATTGTTGAGCAATATGAAATTTCACGTATATTTTTTTATTTGATAATGTAAAACAACACTATATATATATAATAGGGTTAGGCTTCAGTAGAAATAAAAATTCCATGAGAAATATAGACATTTTGTTATCCGTGGTGTACAAAAGTTAACATGTTAACATACATTAACCTATGTTAACATTTCTTTATAAGTTATGTTGCTGTATTTTAACTTATGCTAACATTTAATGTTAATATTGTAAGTGTAACCGAGGATGTTAATTTTTGTGAACAGTCTGTAACAAGATGTTTCCTATGCTTCCCATGAAAATTTGATTTCTTACTCGATCCCAACTACATATTTATACGTACATAGAGACAAGTTCAAATGAGAACTCTAAATATCTTGAGAACCTATAAACTAATTTTTCATGAATTACTATATATATAGAGAGAGAATTTGGATCATATGAGAACCTTCATATACAAATACATTTGAGGTTTTGGGAACCCGATTTGAAATCCCTAAGTGTTGATCTCAACCATCGGATTTGTATTTAATACAAATAAACATCCGATCAAACACTTAGAAAAGAAACATTCTTGTTTTCTTTGTACTAGGTACATATCCGATAAAGCACCATCCATCAGATATCCTATCTATTGATTTCATCTGACACCTATTTACTTCAGATATATCATCACTTCGGATATATATGTGTATATATATATATATATATATATATATAGTTGGCATTTCTTCAAAGAAATATCTTAATCCGATTGTATTATCCATTGGATGAAGAATTAAGCTTTCACCAACCATCCATCTATATCTGATTAAACTTTATAATGTCTATGAACTGGTAAAATCTGAATTGTAGCTTACATTTCAAATATAGACAATAGCATAATTTTTACTTGTAAAGTTTTATAACTATCTGTATTGATCAAAGAGCAGAATGCCTTCAGCAAAGTCGAAGACTAGAAGAAATGAGATCAATATCGTCACTAAAGCGGATTGGTTTGCCATCTAGCTGAAAGAAGATCAGTCCAATGTAAAAAGTCAACTAGAAATATGACAAATATTACTACTGACAAGCAAAAATCTTAAAGTATAAACTTTGTCTGCAAGTTTGGCTCTTCAACTAACTTGCTCCCTAATCTTAGTATGAGAACATATATATCATGTCAGCCTAAGCAAGTACAAAGGCACCATGTGAAGGGTACTTTATTTGCTTTATTGTTCCGTCAACATACTAAAAGGATGGAGTAAGATAAAAATGTGTCTACATCAAACTCAAAAGTTGAAGTGAAGAATACTAGGATACATTGATCAACCAAACTAAAGAAGACATGCATAACATTTAGACAGATAGCGATAAATGCAATGATGGTTATAAAAGGCCACCATTGGCATCCTTTGCAATTCACCCGTTTTGGAAGAACAGTCCTTAAGAGTGTTTCTGAAGTACATTGGGCATCATCCTCCGAAGAACATCCTTTCTTCATCGGATCTGGAAGGGAATACTTCTCCCTCCCTCTCTTTCAATTAGTAAATTTGTCAAAGTCAGATTGTTTAGGATCACAAGGTCTTACCTTCCTAACTTTTGCAATAAATTTGTAATTCTTTGTTTTTATACAAGTTATAGAGCAACAAACTAAAAGTGAAGATCTGTTGTGTTTTTATTCAACCCCCATTCTACAAAAACTTCTTGTGTAAGTTATCACCTTCTAGGACCAACACTAAGTAAGACCTAACTTTTGATATACATATACCTAAGTATTTTGATATTGAGGATTTCATTTAAGGTGATGATTTTAGGGATTTAATTTAGGGTTTTGTAATTAGATTTGATTTTGGGTTGTTGTGTATGAATATGCTTACTATGAATATCTTTTGATGTTCTTGAGTTTGAATTTTATAAATGTTCTTGATAATTTAGTTGTATAAATCTAATTTATAAATGATCTTGATATGTGATTTCTATGAATCTAAATTTATGAATTTTCTACTTTTATAAATATTCTTGGGTTTTAATTAGGTGTTCACAGTAGTTCACAAGGTATTTGCAATGATTCATTCTGCAAACTCGTCCTTCCATTAGTGAGTAGTTCATAATGAAAACCAATGATACTCGACAGAAGAGGAGAGAGAAGAAAGGCATTACGAAATACCCATAAAGACCTTATAATTTTCTTTTTTCCGAAATTACTAATTTACTACATTGACCTTGATTTAATTTACTTTATAGTTGAGATTGGACCTCACAAAATATTTGGTTCCTTACATGAAAGACTCTCCCAACAAACATGTATATGTATATACGGGCATGTTTTCTTAGGAACCACATTTTCATTGAGAACCTTCAAAAGTGCACCACTTTTTCTTATCTATGATGGATATAGACTGAACATTCATCGTGAATGTTCTTATTCATAGTAAAAAATTCATATGGACATATGACGTGTTCTTGGTGGTTCTTGATGATAAACGGATGTCATTTAAAAATCTAGGGGTTGTTTATGTAATTAGTCTTCTGTAGAGGGTCCTATTTAGAAAAAGATAAACCATTTAGGAAGGGTTTCATCTCCTTCTAAATTATTCCAGTACTTGTGTTCTTTCTAAAAGAAAAGTGTGTGTGGAATAGAAAGGATTTTTTTAAGTTTGGTGGTTGGAGTCAAATTCAAAGGTATGAACTTATTCTTTTAACCTTCTTCCATCTCTAGGGTTCTAGTTTAGAATCTTGGTTAGTTTGGATTTTGAGATTTATTTATGTTTTTGTGGTAGACCCTCCTTTGTAGGTTTGTTTATAGGTTGACATCAATTGGATGTAAGGGGAACCGAACCGAACCGATCTAATCATTCATTGGATGGATTTTTCCAACCAATCCGATCAACATTGGATAACCGATCCAATCCACTCCAATGGATGATTGGATCAATTTGGTTCCATTCATTGGATACTTTTATTGGATATCCATCAGATATCTGATGGGATCGAATCCATCCAGTGTGTTGATTCAATCCAATTCTCCAACAATGATACAAATTAATTAATCACTTTAATATGTGTTAAAACCAACACAAGAGAAGTTAAAAATTCAAAATCTCACATAAAACAAATTCTGATTTAAGCAATTTTAATAATGAATTAATTGGATGATAGTTGGATAATGGTTGGATGGACAACTGGATGTTCATCGGATGATTGATTGGATGGATAATTGGATGTTGATTGGTTTGGTTCGACTCGGTTTTGATCTGTTCTGGACAACCATCCGAGAACCGACTGATCCAAATTGGATGTTGAAACTTCCAATCCGATCTAATCCATTTTTATTCCTCCTTGGATTCGAACTTGAGGCCTCCAAACACTTTTGACCTTTGGAGCTTAAGCTCAAACCAATCGGACACTACCCTTGTGCATTCATAATAAATATTATAAAAATAGGTTAAATCATTTTACTAGTAAGAATCTTAAACCAAAAAAATTAAGTATCCTTTTTCTACTACTTTTTTTATTATACAATAACTAATAAACTTTCTGCAACAACTATCGAACTTGTAAACTAAACAACATACTTTTTTGTTATACTTCATTCAAATTTCATGTTCGTGTGTTGTATTTCGCGCTTTTTATCTTATAAAGGTGAATAAGCTAAAAAAACAAGTGAACGAAATAAAAGAATATTGAAATTCACAAAAAAAATAGCCAACTGACACCATTATTCGCTTTCTATCCCATTTTTTCTTTAATTTGTCTCAAAATAACTAAGATTATGTAAGTGTCAATTTAGCAACTTATAACATGTATTTTTTTTGTTGGATAAAATGGGTTTTTCCCATTTTGGAACTTATATAATATTAAATTATGGTTGGTCAGTTCTAACTAGATCAATTGGTTCCAATTAGATCGGTTGATTTTTTGCACACCCCTACTCCTTTGGTTGATTCTTATCCTCTATCAGTAGTTAGTTGTCTTGTTTATGCATCCTTTTGATGTTCTTCAAATCTTTTTGTGGTTATTGGTTTCTC